TGGCTCTATATGACCTAAAGTATTTTTTCACATGGCTCTATATTATACTTTGATATCTGATAGAGTTTTACTGAGCCACTTGTATATACTTTAGCAGGGTAGTAACGTAAAGTTAAATCAACGATGGTAAAAGCTGAGGGGAGTGTTATATCACTAAATTGGGTAACAATGCACCTTTTGTTCTTTGTAATCTTTACTAACTGGTCTGAGATTAATATAATAAATATTTTTGGCCATTTGAGTTATGTCTTTCACAAGAAAATTTATTACCAGCACAGGGGGATGAAGGCTTTTGCAAGTCTTTGTACATATGTATATACATAATACTTCCCACTCAAAGCAGCCGTCAGTATCTCTGCAGCTGCAAGAGGAAGAGGGTTTGGAACGTTTAGCTCATATGGCACTGATTCTCTTTGGTTCATAAACAACGAAGAAGCAATCATGATTATTTGGTTCTTTAAGCCATGAGCTAATACAGACATTCTTAAAAGATGTCGTTAATTCAACTGTTTAATTTAATTAAAGGTACAAGTGCTATTCTCTGGTGGTGGACCGTACCGCTTACGTACCTCATCAAAAGCAACTGTCTCCTGTATTAAGAACGGTGAATAATATCTAAGAAATAAAGTAAACACTGAGGAGTATTTCATTTCCTTCATTACTGTCGAGGAGACCACATAATCTGCTCTATAAAGGTGTGCCAGTCGGCGGTTCAATTACACTAAACTTATGTTAGTTTTCTTAGAAAAGAAGATGTAACGGTACAAGTTTAGAAACATGTCTTGTTAATTTCGTATATTAGGAGTAGTGCAGACACTGTGGTATTGGAAATTCTAATTTACTGGCTCTTAAAAGGGAAGAACAACATTCCATTCACGTTTAAACCTTGTAATTGTAAATATTAAATCCAACCGACTTACAAGCGTAAGACAAAGCTATAAGGTCGGGAATCTTGAAGAAGAATTATTGAAATATGATTCATGGTTATGCGAAGTGGTTTTAATATCTATTACATAATACTCGCTAATAATTATAATAAATATTATATTAAGCTGGAATTATTTCTGAACGAATTACTACACCTGGTACGTATGCTGAACACATAAGTCTAGGACGATTTTATCAGATAATATAATACAGATTAGTCCCGCAAAATCCTCGTTTTCATTATTATTCTTCAAGTAAAACAAAGGTTTATCCTTCCACTGATATTCTAGTTTGAGTAAAGTTGGAGAAAACGCTACCGGTACAGAACTAAACTTGTAAATTAAAAACAAATATATAGAAAAAATCGCAAAACAAACGTAGTGATTTCAAACCTGGGTAATAGGAAGTGGTGGATCTGGAGACCAAACTTCGGTTTTCTTGTTAGCTGGTGGAAGGGCTCGAAATGCTCCATTACCCGATTTTTTTTCTTCACGTTTCATGGAATCTAAAGTGAGATAACGTGAATATTTAAAGTAAGAAAACGACATCTAATTACGCTCCAAGAAACAGATGTGCACGTGTGATTAAATAAAAGTTTGCATTACATAGATTCAACTATAGAAGTAAGTTTAAGATAAACAGATGCACATTACATCATAAGAAACATCATTCAGAACATGAAGTAAGTTAAATAAATTTACATACTAAAAAAGCCTGTTGTAAGTGTGAATATATATATCTAAATGATTAAATATTATGCAACACTTAGACATATGATACTCAAGATAAAATAATATACATAAATTGTATCATAAGGATTATACAAAATAATAACACACTGTATACATTAAATGGTACTGTTGATACACTGTCTAGCGTTGAATGGGTTTGTTTGGATTTTTCGGTAAAAGAAAAAAAAACTCCAGTCCAGTTAATGGTAACGAAAACATTTTATTTCTTTAAATTATATTTCAATGAGTTAACTAATCTTTGCTGATAGACTTAAGTTCACAACAGAATAGTAGGTGTTAACACAACAATTTCACCTACTTGTTGATTTTCTCATGTATGCACCACACTTTCTTGTATCTCCAGTACTTTTAGAATCACAAATTCAATATTCACAAAACTTAAGTCACAGACAAACTGACAAACTCCCTAACTCAGTAATCAATCCACACTTGGAACAGATTTGCTGGTAAATCGTAATAGTCGTCCTCGGTGGGACAAAGGTTTGTTTGTTTGTTTTGAATTTCGCGCAAAGCCACACGAGGGCTATCTGCGCTAGCCGTCCTTAATTTAGCAGTGTAGGACTAGAGGAAAGGCAGCTAGTCATCCCCACCCACCACTAACTCTTGGGCTACTGTTTTACCAACGAATAGTGGGATTGACCGTCACATTATAACATCCCCACAGCTGAAAGGACGAGCATGTTTGGTGGGGCGGGGATTCGAATCCACGACCCGCAGAATGCGAGTCGAGCTCCCTAACCACCTGGCCATACCGGGCCGGGACAAAGGTAAGTCTACGGATTTACAATGCTAAAATTAGGGGTTCGATTCCCTTCGGTGGACACATCAGATAGCCTGATGTAGCTTTGCTATAAAAACACACACACTCGCAATAGTCTCCCCTAACTCAAAATAATTCCTAAGCTTTAAAACAGATACTAGTCATTATGCCAGACTCCCTTTAACCAAAGCAAAACAAACATACATACGTTCTAAAAAGCCTTCTTCAATAGGAAATCGAGGCATATGCATTGAAAACGGACGCATATAGTTGAATTATATATGATATGATATGTTTAAACAAATACATCTAAATGTGGGTTTCACATATCTATGTGCACTATAAGAAACATTGTTACAAATAGAATGTATGATTAGATTAATGAAAAATTCATTACAAAAACGTTTGTTGCATATTTCATGTTTCACAGTATATATTAAAATGCAGTAAACAACACATATAGTGAAAATATTTTTCGCTGTGAAAATGTTGCAGATATTGAATATTTTGTAAAATAACATAATGACTAATTATAAAATTCTGTCTTCAAGTGGATCATTTTGTAGCATAAATTTACAAATAGTTAAATATTAACCTTTAAATTAGGAAATTCACTGACAAAATCTAAATCTTGATGGCCATAAGTAAAGAATTATCTAGAAATAACTAACTTACCGTTCAGACACCGCAGAGAACTCAGAGGAGACGCAATGTTTTCCATCAAATGCTGGTTTCGCTGAAAAAAAAAAGTGCAACTTACTGGTTTTAAAGAACACTTGAGTAGCCTTACTACTTTGTTTAAGCTTCAAAGGACCTTAAGCCTGACTAAATAAATAGATAAAGTATGTTAGCTATTTCACCTTTGAAATGTTGCCTCAAGAAAAAATGGGAAAAATGAATATTTTCTGTATGCTCCAAGCAAAGTAACTCTACATCTTTCACCCAATCTAAGCTTCTCTTCTATAGCTCACAGACATGCATAGTATCCGTTAATTGAATTGATGTTAAACAAAATCAGATTATTACTGATACTTTAATTTAGAAATCCATTTATATGCTTTTAAACTTTAGGTGGTAAGTCAGCTTTCAATTAACACACAAATAGTATAAAGAGCGCCTTATACATTATGTAGTGAATCCGGATGTGGAATACACGTTTGGCACTTGGGAAAAGGTCAAATACCCTCTCTTCAATGTTGCAGCTCAAAGAAATCTGATCAAGTTCACTTACGCCATCTTTAATACTACCAACAGTCAATTTAACCCTCTAACTGCAGCTATTGAAGTGTACTGGAGGATTTTGGGTGCGATCGACATCATGCGCATACTTTCTTACAGTAATTACCCTGTGCGATAAAGTGTTTACATATTGTATTAACATTAGCTCTCTTCCTACTAAATCACGTGATATGACAGCCTGAACTTATGTATCTGGTCTTTCTCCAGACACTTCCCAACTCTCTTTCTCTCTCATCCCTTCAAGGTCATGTACTAGTAGCCCACATGGTATTAAGAAAACCCAGCGTTGATGTTTCTTTATGACAAGCTCATCAATAAGTTCCGGTTACGTAGTGGGGGAAGGTGTACACCTTAAGTCCGGTTCATAATTAGAACTTACAACTTATTTATATCTAATAGAAAAAAAACAACATTTTATGAAGTTTTTTACTGTTATTGTTTGCGTATTCTCATAAGTATACTTTAAATTTTATCGAGAAACCTTTGAAACTGCGATGCTTAATTGACTCATATTAGATATTTCAAAGAATAGAACCACATTGTTCTGTGTAGTCTAATGGTTATTTAGGAAGATTTCACAACAACATTTATCAAGTTTCTATTTGTTGGCATAAGCTTACTTAGACATAGATTGTTACATTATTTTCCTTTCAGTGCTATATTAAATTAATTACTAATCTTTTCGTATAGAACAGTTTTCTTTATGTGCCTTGACATTATGAGTGAAGCTGGATTCACAGCATATTCTTAAAAATAAAAAATATACTATATGCAATTTTTTCTCACAAAGTTGTGTGTTAAAACTCTCTTACTTTATTTTTGAATTGCAATTAATTTCCTTTCTTGGTATAAATGAAATTTAATTTTATGATAAATATAAACATAAATGTATGAAAAATGAACTTAATTTGAACTTAGTAAACTTGAATTTATCTTTATCAACACAAAAGTAACTAATGATTTAGTTAAAGTAACTTATAAATGGATATCATTTTTGCAGATAATATTAGGTCGTCAAGAAATTGATGTCGTGTTTTGGAACACTTTCATTAACTACCCCCCCCCCAAAAAAAAATATACATCACGTATAATAGTTAAACGAACTGCCTAAACGTCACCTTAGTGTAACCTACGTAATGTGTAAAGTTCAGTATACTCTAACCGAAATCGGCCCGGCGTGGCCAGGTGGTTAGGGCGCTCGACTCGTAATCTGAGGGTCGCGGGTTCGAATCCCCGTCACACCAAACATGCCAACTTCCGTCAACTAAATCAGATCAGGGAATTTGGGGGCATATCATCTGCTGATGGCACCCCCATAACTCGTAACTAAAAAAAAAGAAATACTCTAACCCAAGGGGTAAGAACTGGATTGTTTCGTGAATGCAGGGAAGAAGAGAGATATGAAATATGCCACGAAACAGCGCACGTGTTAGTAGTCATACTGAGAGAGGGGTGAAGAATGTGGACGACCCTCGCCGATGTGTGAAGGGGTCGGTTACTTCTTGTACTGATGGTGTGTCACAAGACATGGATTTCGATAGGAATTGTGCTAGTAAACGAGTACGATCTGACTCCGGTTCGAGTGTCGAATCAGTCGGACACAAAAAGTCAACTACGGACAGGAAACAAATAGTTTTCATTATTTCGCCGGATGTAAATATAGCCAAAGTAAATCCCATGCTCTTGAGTAGAGCCCTTAACGATATCATTGGGCCAACTGAAAAAATTCAATTGCAAAGAGACCGTATTAAGATAGTTTGTACTTATTCACAGTCGAGATTATTGTCGAGTACAAAAATCATTTGTGGATATAAAATACGTTCCCAAATTCAATTCTGTTAGGG